TAGAAGGATTGTTCATTAGATGCTTGTAAATACGAAAGGAGTTTAAGAAAAACATGATTGGCAAATCTGTGCCATGTACCCAAAGCATTATTTTGCAGTGTGAATAGAAACAATTGGATGCTTTTCATAGGTGACATTAAAGGCTGCTCTACTGAGAGTCACTTGAGTTAGGAAGCTGAAAAAGTTATTTTAAAAAACTAAATGTGATCTGGCTATTCTAAGTACTGAATTGAATTCAGATTATAAATGTGGGAAACGCAAAAAAGTGACTTGAAATGTTGGAAAAAGGCCTTGGGGTGTTGCCTAAAATTAGAACCATGCTGTTCTAAAATGTTGTTCAGGAGAGTGGAAAAGAGAACAATGAGATTAAGAATTTGCAAGAGGAAGTAGCAACAATGGAGGCTCCTAGTAGTTTTGGCTGGAATGTTAGAGATGTAAATCACAGCCGTCTCATGATCTTGCAGTACTTGCACAGCTGTGGGACTCTGAAAACATCAAAGAAGTCTGCTGATACTTTGAGCAGAAAACATATGGACTCCACCACATGGAATAATTTGTCCCTCTTTTATAAGTTGGAGCCATGAACATTAAAAAAAATACATTAAAGAATATATAAAGAACATACTGTATTCAGTTGCAAAATAGTCACAAAGGAAAAGGCTTTTGTATTAAAAACATGTCTTTGCCTTGCTTAAAGAAAGAGGAATACTGTTCCTCAGTGTTGACAAGAAAACTGACATATCCAGAAAAGAGGTATCAGCTTTGTTCGGAAAGTATATGATGATAACTTACTTTTATTCCTTGCAGATTACTGCCACTTCTGGACAATTCATAAGTGAATAATATTGTACAAAATAAAGAAAATGAAAATAATTATATTTAGAGATTTTTTCTTCCAATGTCCCCATTCCCATCCCTGGGATTTTATAGAAATTGATACTACACCACAAGCTCAGATAGTTTTATTCCTACAGAGAAAAGTAAATAACAAAATTGTGTAGCCATTTCCCCTTTACTAAATATCTCAAATTAAAAAAAAAATTAAATCTAGTCATGGTGTTTTAATGTAGTCAAAGACTTTGTGGTATAAGCTTTCATGAACTATATTACCTTCTATATATATATAAAAGCGAAATCCACTCATTCATCATGAAATCTCCAAAACTGCAAAGCCTATAAACCTGAAATTCGGCACATATGTTCCTCTTGGCTTCTAGGTGTTCGCTAAGAAAGGATTTTTCGAAATGGCCATCCGATCATTAGTATTTCATATACAGTATATTAACATGCTCTGATGCTAAGGAGTTAGACGTTCTACTTCCCTTTCCCACCTGAAAAGTTCCACTTCTGTTAGTTCAGGTCAAACTGGCAGACGTTTTCACTCGGGAGCGGTCTGGGGCTCCTTACAATCCTAAACATTGCTACCTCACCAAAATGTCTACGCTTTCCATCTATGGAACTGCTTCCAAACACAAGGCAGCGGGAGAGATATTCCCTTATGAATATTTCAATCATCGACCACCACTGAGCCAATGGATTGTGAACCAAATTTCTCCTGCATAGTGTCCCAGCCCCAAATCACTTCTTACACTGACCTCCTCAGTTCAGATGAATCTGTTCCTTCTACTATAATACCAGTTAAAGGGAAAAGAGGGGAAAAACGCAGGAAAAGATTTACAGATGCGATTAGAAAAACCACAAGTAAGGGGGGCTTTAAAAAAGTATCATCAAAGTCATCACAAAGTCAATAGAGAGGCTGTAAAAAAGTATGCATCTAATAACCCCTACGTTAATCAGGCAGCTACAGCTAAATACAATGAAAAGATATCACAAATCAGATCAATGCCTTGGACTAGTAAGTACTGTATTTGTCTGGTTTTAAATATGAACTTCAGATTGATTATGCCAGGGAAAAAGTTGTTGATCTCAGACCTTGGTTGCCTGGTGCCGTGTCCTAAAGTGGCAGGATGAGATTCCTGGGATGTGCTGTGGTGGCAGTAAAGCCCGGCTCCCTCCCCTTGAGCCCTCCCCTGAACCCTTACACAGCCTTCTCACCCACCAGCATCCAATGGCAGACCACTTACTTTCTGCTGCCCGGAAGTACAACGGATGCTTCCAAATGACCTCTTTTGGAGCCAGAATGGGGGAAGGAGGAAAATTTTATGCCAACATTCAAAGTGCAGGGGCAGATCTACCACAGGATAGGAAGTATCATGGCAGGGCTTCAGCAGCAGCCTTCATTTCTCTAGATATACTTTGTTGGTGGCGATGACAATGAGAGAGACAGACAGCCGTTGTGGAATCGACCCAGGCGTTAATCCAGAACTGGTTAGCCAACTGCAAAAGTTGCTGCGTGAACACAAGAAGTATATTCTGGAACTTAAGGCTGCTGTTGATTCTGTTGATTCCTAAGGGCCACAAGAACTTCCAATTGGTGATTAATGCTGATTGGAAGCCTTCTGGAGAGCACCAAGGTCATTTCAATGCCCCCATGACTACAGAAGTGGCTGTTTTCATCATCGGCCAGGAATTTGAAAAAAAGAGAGATATCGTTCTCCACAGCAGAGACAACAGGTTGTTACGAATCGCCACCCGATCACATAGTTTCGTAGTGAAGCATGGGTATCCAGCTAGTAGTTCATAAAATGTATGTTCCTTTGATAAGAGTAAATTTCATTTCATGCAAAAAGTATCAATTTCATGATAAGTCATTTTTTAATTTACCACACAAAATTTCAGATTTAAAAAATGGACAATGTTCTTCCATTTAATGCAACTCTTTTGAGTAAATGTAAGGACAAGGATTTTTCTCCACATCTATTCATAAAGAAGAAATTCAATTTAATGCAGTTGCTGCAATTTACATGCATTACATTGTGAAAAAGTACTTTCATGATAGTGATTATAATTTTGTCCAGATAATAATAAAATTCTATAATTATGCCAAATAGTTTCACATCATGGAACAGATATAATGGGTAATTCTTCGAGAAAGACCATGGCAGGAGTAGAGAGAAACCCAAAACTGAAATGATAATGACTTTTTTGGCACTAGATATTCATAAAAATTATTGTAGTAGATATTTTAGCACTGGAGAGTTGGTTGGCACATGTTGCATAAGAACATTTTGTCCAGTCCTCAGGTGGGAAAGCTTAAATGTCTTAGCTACTTTGTGATTAAATTACCTTCATAATTCTTTTGATGAGAGATGGCCTTCTTGAAATCAGAAGTACCCTATTGCACTCATTTTAGATGGTACTATTAGCCAAAAGCTGGGTCTGCCCAGTAACAAGGGAGGGACTTAGCAACTTTGACAGGCTCAGTCTATCAACCTGAACAGACGAGCACACCCCATCCTATCCTGGCTGCTGTCTCCACCCACAATGGAGAATAGGAATATTACTGGGACGTACTGGCAAGATGACCAGATATTTCTACTTTTGATGAAGGTGCAGGCAGGAAGGGTTAGGGGCCGGCTATACCCTATAGCCGCACTATTTTCAGCCAACTTTGCTCCAAATTATCTAGATGGAGACTGCTCATGAGAATGTTTTTATTATTTTGTTTAATAGAGCACAAAACTTTGTACAAGATGGCCAAGTTTTGTTTTTCTCAACAAAATATTGCCAGAGATATTATGTCTCAAAGTTGCTGGAACCTCAGAGTCATACGGTAGAAGGCTGCGATATGGGGTTACACAAATGCCTATATCTCCACAAGTATTGCATCGGCACATGTAACACTTCACCAATGTTCATTGGGGACATGTGCGTGTTCACACAAAAGATTTCATCGAAATCTGTGAAGATCAAGCGGGGCACTTTTCTGAAATCAGACCATTTTACATGGATTTTTAATACAGTATTGTAAGCCACCCAGAGTTACCATGTATAAATTGGGCGGCCATAAAAGTGTGTTTAATAAAACTTGTGTGTAATAAAAAAAATTGCCACTTCTAAATTAAATAAACATGTCCAAGATGTCAAAATACTAGGGTATTTCAGACACACAGGTCTGAAAGCAAAAATGTAGTTTAAAACCCAGGGATGTATGAATGTAGCATTTATTTGCAACTCCGTGAAGCAGCCCTGCCTTTTCAGGAATCACACAGCTGCTGTTCACAGGTGCCACACCATCCAAGAAAATAGATGTATTTAATTAACGGGTTGAAGATCGCTTCTATTTTTGTGCTCCTGTGCATTTTGAAACATCTTGTTACCTTCAGTGCGAAAGTCTTGCACCAAGCTTGTTACCTAATGTATAAGTTGTTAAGAAAGGGGGGAGAAATACTCCTAGAAAGTGTTATACTAAAAGTCCCACCTTTAAAAAAGTATCATCCATAGGGCATCTGCAGTATTTAAAGTGGCCTTCAAAGATGTGGAAGTCCTCCAGATGTTGCTATCTACAACCCCTTATTGTTCCAGAAAGCATGACCAATGGTGAGGGATGTTGTGGGTTGAAGTTCAGGAAATACTTGGAAACCTCTAGTTCTTCTACTTCTATAATTCAGACTTCATTTTGTATCTATTTTTATATAGGAGTTTTAAAACATACTGAGGAATGTTCTTTCAAGGATGCTTATCTTGCCTAGACTTCCCTCCGTTTATAGTAGACAGTGTAATGGTACAGATTATTTCCCCTCTTGATGAACTCCGGTCAAAAACCAGACATGCTTGTGCCCAAGTGCCTAATGGTAACTTATCCAGGTTTAGCCTTCTAACCTTAATTATATGTGGAATGTGGAGAATGTTGTGTCCTGTTTTTCTTTATAACGAGACAGTAAACCCCTGGCCACTTGCTTTTACTATTAAAACATTCTTTTTACCTTCAGTATTTGGTTCACTAATATAACATGATTGTTTAAAAATAAAAGTATGCCCTCAACGTGTTTTGAATTATTACATTTGTTTATTTGCATGCAATGTGCAAAAATTAAATACACTGGTATTATCTCCATGTGCAGTCATGTAAGATTATTATATCCTGTGTTCTGTTTTAGGAAAAAGAACAGTGCTAAAATGTTAAAAGCAGTTTTGAAAAAAAGCAGAGATGGTGGAAAGGCAAACAAGAAGGAATCTGGTAGGATATTTTACTTTATTTATATTGTACTCCAAGGTAAAAGTTAAATACTTGAATGCAATTCCCCTTTAGAAAATAACTCCAACAACTTGGCTCCAGTGGTGAAATCCTCCGTGGATTGGCAACGGTGTGCTGCACATGCATGCACACTGTGCACAAAAAGCACGCTGCATGCACACACGCAGTGAGCACCAAATGCACGCCGCATGCGCAGTACTCACAAAATGCGCACTTCTGGTATATATCATTAATATGTTGGAGACTGAAAGGATCTGATTCAAATAATTAAGTTCCTTTTATTAGCCCATATCTCAGTCTAAACTTTATAGGTATTAGTGCACTACATTTTGTGAATTCTAGATATGCAGGCCTCATAAATGCAGTGTACCATCAGATATTCAGGAGAAGCCATAAACTGATATCAGAATCATTTTCCTCAATCTCTGCAAGCTTCAGATAAGTTATAACAAAATAATAAAAAATTATCTTGGATGATGCAATTTGTAATATTTCCTATATATTTATTTATTCCTGAAGCTACTTAAGACATAAATTAAATATAGTTTCCCCTTCAGCATTTAAAAATATTGTGAGAATAGTGGTGTACAAACCACAGCTATTCAGCTAAATCTGATGTTCATTTCTAAACACAAATCATTTTGTCTCAGATTTCCATCTTGGTGTATAGTGAAATTAGAGTTAGAAATTTTTAGCCAAATGTCCTGTGAGCAAGAGTTTGCTTGTAAAATGTAAAGTTTCCTAATCAAAGAACTTAAGCCAAGAGTAGGCAACATTTTTTTTACTTTTACCTTCCTTCAATGCCTGAAGAAAGCCCAGTGTTATCATGACATTGTTGAAATGGATGAGGCTAGTTAACTAGAACCTATATTTTAGAAAGAAATTGATGAGTACGTCTTTTATTTCGTCTTCTGATGAATATAAGTATAATTGGATCACATATAACGGGGTCCCCAGCCCCTGGCCCACAGCCCTTTAGGAACTGGGCTACAGAAGTGGTGGACGAGCATGCACGCGCCTGTGTCTACAAAGCTGTTTTTGTAAAAGCGATACGCCCAAAACCATCCCCTCCTCCCCACCACGGCCGCTAACTCTTCCATTGGTCCACCAAGCCAGAAAGGTTGTGGACCACTGACATATGTGACATACAGCATCCCCATACTAAAAGGCCCTTTCTTTGCTAGGTTGGTGGCATGCGTACCGTCAAATGCTACCCTTCCGTGCTGCTACACAATGTGAGAAAATCCAAACCACATTGAAAAGGCTTCTGTCATTTATCTGCCCCCACCCAACCTTAATAAGTCATCCTGCAATATAAATAAAGAAAACATACTAGAAAACCTTTGCTGTAAACATAGCAGTTTATTTGCTGCTTGATAACATGCTAAAAGGTTATTTTGTCAAACAAGAAATTATTTTCTGGCTCACTGGTGAATCTTTGTTCCAATTGGACTGACTGGAATAGTTTGCAAGAGTGACAGTTCTGGATGAAACTCTATGGCAAGATTTAAACTCTCATCAGCCCCAGTCAGCATGGCTAGTAGCAAAATTGTGATCTAAAACAGCTGAAGGACAATAGTAAACTGCCGGAAATCTGTAGTTTGATTTAATTGTGTTTTTTTTTAGTCGGACTCTTGTGCACAAATAATTATATCAAACAGACTTTAGTTTGTCTCATGTTAATTTGTTTTTCTTAATCTCCTCTGAATATAGAGTTACTCTGCATCAGAGCCATTTCAAAGATAGCTGAGAGTAGTTGGTTGCTGAAAGGGGCAGGAATTATGACTGTTCTATTCTGACCAGAGGTGGATGTCGCATACTGTAACAATCGGTTTGCCAGGAACCGAAAATGTGACTGTGTGTGTGCCTTCCGCACATGCACGTGGCATTGAAAAACCGGTGATTATATAGGACAGGATAGCGTCAGGGCGGCTGGGTGGGCCCAGCCGCTAGTCGGAACTACCTGTTCGCCCGAACCAATCTGAACCGGCAACAGCCCACCATTACTTCTGACCCAAAGCAAAATACAACGGTTAGTTTTATTCTGAAGCCTCCTGGGCAAAATTTCATTCTCTTATGGTTGCTTTTTTCAATAAGTATGGTTTTTAAATACTAAATCTTTACTGGTGAGTATGTAGGAAAAGTAGGCGTCAGTAATAATGGGGTCCTGCAAAGAGAAGCAGCTATGGGAACTTTTGGAAGAATATTTTAATGAGAAATGAGTGGCTACTCTTGATAGTGAGGGAATTTTAGATCAAAGTACAGCTACATCTGTTAAATTCTTGGTACCGTAGCTAAGACTAAAATATGCATTTGATATTGTTAATTGGACACAGATTAAAATGTCCATAAAGTCCTTCAGAATTTTTTTCCCCCAACAACAGGATACAGTTAGGTTGAAGAGTAAAAATCTTGTAAGCAAAACGTATATTGTCAGGCAGAGTAAGAAGAGAAGGAATGGTTTGTAAAAGTGTCAGAGAAAGATTTACAATAGGACATTTACCTGTGGCTTCATATCTCAGTTTGGCATCAACCAAAATTCTAGGCCTTTTAAGATGCTGAAATAACATTAGATAGATTCATCCACTAAATTTATCTTCCCTCTTAGAAAAATCAGTTTGTCTCAGTCCAACCTTTCTCACAGGTTTCTTGTTGTGGGGATAAAACATTGGAAGATCTCCCTGTAATAATGTGATAAATTTATATGTTGCCTGATTCTCAGTGACTCTCTGTAGTTTACAAATTGCTAAAAATATATTTTTTTTAAAAAAAGAAGTAATACCAGAAATACAAAGCAAAGAACCAAGATGGCTGAGAAAACCAGGAACAAGAACAAGGAAAAGGAAATAAAAGGACATCAGTTGTGCGTATCAAAGGCCTGGGCAAAGAGCCAGGTCTTCGGAGCCCTTTGAAACAACAGCAGGGTGGAGACCATTCATATCTCAAAAGAACCTCATTCCAGAGGTAAGGCACTCCTTCTGGGTTCCCAAAAGATGGCATTGTTTAATCAATGGAACCCAGAGTATGCCACCTCTGCTGGATTGAGTCAGCTGGACAGATACAATGGGAGACAGGCAGTTCCTTAAATAATTAGGTCCTATGCGACATAGGATTTTATAGGCAGACTAGCACCCTGAATTGCACCTGGAAGCAAACTGTCTGTCAGTCCTCCTAGGTAACCCAGACAGGAAATATGACTGCGTGAACTAATTCTACTTTATTGTAAGGCTACATTAACAGAATCTCGCAAGTCTGAAAGTACAAACTTCTCACCCACCACTTTTAACTGCTTGACCCATTAGGATAGGTCCTTCCTAAGTTCTTTCTCTGACTGTTAAGCCGTTTGGAGCATCTGCGTCTCTTGTCAGAGGTGTTACATTCTAAGGCCGTGATGGTGAACACGTGCCACAGGTGCACGCATAGTCATATCAGTGGGCACACCAGCTCAGCTCTGGCGCACATGCGTGCGCTGGCCTGCTGATTTTCGGGCCTTCTGGGCCCACCAAAAGTAGGGAAACAGGCTATTTCCTGCCTCCAGAGGGCTGGGGGTGGGGAAGGCCCATTTTTTTTTCTTACCTGGCTCCAGATCCTCTCTCTGCACCTAGAGAGGCTCGGGAGAGCAAAAAACGTCACTTCCTGTCCCACTGGGAGTTGGGAAATGGGCCCTTTCAGGCTTTCGGAGGGCCTCTGAGGGAGTGGGAAAGGCTGTTTTCGCCCTTCCCAGATGCATAGAGAGGATCTGAAGCCAGGTAAGAAAGAAAAATGGGCCTACCAGGCCATTGCGTGCCAGGAGCGGGGGGGAAGGGGGATTGTGTGTACATGCGCAGGGGGGGCGCATAGAATTATGGGTGTGGGCACGCGCATGCGCGAACCTCCCCCACCCTCCCCTCTCCTGGCACGCAATGGCAAAAAGGTTAGCCATCACTGTTCTAAGGCATGCCCATTACTACCTGCACGGCTGAATTGTGGACCAGCTGAAGCTTCTGGGTAATGTTTAAAGGCAGCCCATGTAGAGTGCATTCTACCATAAAGTGACCTGGGCCTGAGGGAGTGTGTGAAGGCCTACCCCCAATCTAGGAAAAGGCTCAACTCACAAAACAAAGGCCTTCCACATCAAGCAGGACCTATGAATCTAAGCAACCTCACATCACCCCGTCCAAAAAAGTTGGATCCCCATGTCACTAGGTCTTGGTAGGAGTTATTCAAAGATGGTTCTTTCCCATCTAATTCCACACAGCTTTCAGGCTGTCCACTGTGCAGGGACAGAACATGTACAATGCCTTGAACAGGGCATGGGCTATTAATAGGGTTTCAATATCTATGCTAAATGACTGCAATGAATTGGAATTTTCTATATCTAGTAGTCGCTCAGCCAAAATATTGGAACCGCAGCTGTAAATTGAACAAGTAAATGTATGAAGAAGTCTGATTAAAACATATAATTTTGGATTACTGTGGAAAAACTAAAATAATAACGTGTTTGCTTTCTCTCGGCCCTTGCTAGGGTTTTCTGGTTTACTGTGCCACAGTTTGTAAATCAAGAGTAAAACCTGACTTGCCACTCTGGTTTGTGATAGATGCAACTGAATGGGAGCCCCACTTCCATTGAGATCTTGAAGTTGCTCAAGGTAGCAGAAAGGCCCAGTAGAGCAAATACATTATGCGCACAGCTTATTCCCTATAAACCGTGATTCCCCATTTAACTAGTTTACTATTTTATGCAGGTATAACTACTAGCTGTGATGTATATTGTGGATAAAGCCCATTGTAGTTTGTTTAGGCTCAGCATAAAATACTATTTTAGATTTTTATTATAAAGATATTTAGGCTAGATTGCTGGTGTAAAAATTAGATAAATAAAATAAACCAAGCAAGATACCCAAGCAATTCTTGAAGGGTTACATTCCAATTTGTCAGAGTTTGTTGCAGCAATCAGATCCAGAAAATACACACAGGTAACTGATGCAGCAGGATTCATTAAC